CTCGTAGTATTCCGTACTCCTCCTTTCCCCCGCCGTCTGATTCTTATTTTGTTTTTTTTTTGGGGAGAAAAAAAAAAAAAGGACCCCTTTGTTTTTATTTTTCGCCTAAGAAGGGGAAAAAAAAACAGGGAGTGGGGGGAAAAGAGTTCTTTGTTGGGGGTTTTTTATAGCGGGGGGGGGGGGGGGGAGGGAGCTTTTGGGTATTTTTTGGGTGGGTATGTGCCGCCCAGGACTCCAAATTGGCAACCCGTTCTAAAAAAAAATTTCCCCTAAAACTGATACCCCGGTCTAGAGCTTTCGTGCGTTCGAAATATTATACCCCGTTCTAGAAAACGCCTCTGAAATGGACACCCCGTTCTAAATCAGGAGCTACTTGCCAACGGAAGAGACCTCCGCCATTACTCAAAACAGGTCAAGTCGAGAGCTTGTGAAAGACTCATTCACGAGACTCATTCATTCATGTCAGTGTCATTTTCAGCACATATCTATGAATGTCTGTATTTACAACTTCCTTTGGATGATATTAATTCCGTCGCTTTGGAGTGAATTGTTAGAGGTACGTTGGCAGAGCTTAGCAATTTCAGTGCAAATTTTAACTCTTTTGATTTCTTTGTCATTGCGAAATAAAATAATTTTATCAAAACTAGAAGCTCTAGTGTATGAATCTTATGGCTTGCTATTTGCCTGGTCTCCTTTACGGCATTATCTCGGAGAGCTCTTGGTAAAAAAGTGGTATAAAGCTCACATTTTACTAGGCTAAACTTTTAACTTAAAGGCAATGTTTGTGTCAGGACTGAACACGGCAAGCTTCTATTTCGAATCATTAAATGCGAGTCTGGATCCGTTTAAGAAGACCATCATTTTATTTATTTATGTATTCTTCACTTTTAAAATATTACGGAACATGAAGTTAAAACTCTTAACAGCCAAAGATAAGAAATAGGAAAATTACTCGGTGAAATGAAATGTGGCCGGCTTACCGAGTCTGCCGAGTAACAAGTTGAAATATTGAGCGTACTCCACTCGATCGCTCCTGCATTTATACCAAAGAGATAGTTCTAATTGAAGTCCTTCATCGATAAAGACCAGAGAATAACGTCCTGGCAAATAAACACCAAACATAACTTCATCGAAACCTCAGTCACCGCGTCTTTCCTGTCTTCCTTTTTTCTATCTCGATTTGAACTGTTTTGTTCAATGGCACACGTCTCTTGTGTTAACAAGTAGGCCATTACCCTGCGAGCAGAGGCTACATTTTCGCACGCCACTTCATACCGCGAAAATGTAGCCTCCTCCGGTGAATTAAGGAATGGGGCAGTGCAAATTTGGAGGGGGGTGGTCTGTTTTAATAGGGATTTTACCTTTCGCATAAACATTTTAAATTCAATATCTATTCCCCATAAGCATTCATTTTTCATTATTACTAATGTATTATCTTTGTCACGTGACTTGCCACACCCATTTTTGACTTTTTATTTCAAACCAAATTTACACCACTTTATAAATAACACTTGTAATTTAATTCATTTTTTGTCAATGACTATCGAAACAAAGTTTATGGAATTGATCGGGGTTATCTTAAATTATCTACGTTTTGTAAGCTATAGCGTTTCTTGTTAAGAGGGAGACTGGGACGAGAGAAAAATTCCTAATAATTACGAAGGAATGGATCATTGCACAAATCCCCGATTAATTTAGCTTATTTGACTGTAAATGAAATATTATGGAAGGAAAAACGATTGTGGTCACATTCGGTAAAGTGATGTAATCTGCAAAGTCCAAATTTTGCATAATTATGGCCGTGGCTGGTCACGTAATCTGAAAAAAAGTAGTGTTTGAGGTTCAAAGTGGTTCTGGTCTTAAACACAGTGGTCTAAGGTTAAAATGAAGGAAGATACTGGAAAAAACAAGATAAAATCATAAAACCCCGCATGTAACGAGGACCCATGCCTTAATTCACCTGAGTCTGCTCGCATGGTAGTAGGCCATATATCCATCGCTTATTTCTTTTTTTCTTGCCACCAAGATTTGCATTGTTTATATTTCTGTTTTACCGAATTGCAGTGAGCTAGCTTTCGTACTTGGTTTCAATGTGAAGTTTGGGTCAACATGTTTGCCGCTTTCCTCCAGCCATCGCCCACTTGTCGATCTTCTGATGCTTCGCAAACCTACAAAATCATCCTGTTTCCTTGAAGATATACGCGTCCCTTTTGATTGCGAACAGCAAATCAGTACTAAACATTAAAAGCAGAAGACGTCCCACGTCATTGTATTTAAAAAGACGTCCATACAAAGTTATTTTAGGTGGAATCCGTGCTAAACACTCTGCAAGTTCACTGAAAGTCTTCATTTGCAATTTTTGTTTACCCTCCAACGCCTCGCTTTCATGACTAGGCACTAGTTTTTTCCCTCAAAAAGTTCGGAGCTGAAGATGGCTTCCAGCAAGAGATCAGTGACTGTGTTTTTTGCGGCATCAATGTTTCTAATTGGAGGAGCTTTAAGCCAATCGCGTGAGTATATCATCTATTGAACATTTTTGTCCCCCTAAAGCGAATGAAATTTTCACATGCATATGCATTAAGAAACGGTTCAGAAAAGAACGATAGCAACAACGGCAACGAACATGTTGGAGTGCAAAAAAGGTGCTAACTTTTCTATTGTCTGTACTTACTTCTGATTGGCTTAAACAGCAAAAGTTAACAAAACTTCATAAAGCAGTACATACATTCATCCTTACTTTCGAACCATCTTCCGTATAACAAAATCTGGTCTTAGTTTGAATAACAAAGAAATTCTATGAGGGGAACATGTAAAATTGTAGACTTTTCTTGGCTATTGTTTTCAACTCTTGTGATTGGTCGAAATCTTTTAACACACAAAAAAAACACCCTTTCAAAGTGGAGTGTAAATGCATTTTATTGCGTAAACGGCCTTCATGTAGGTTTATGCATTCTCTGTGTAAAAATGAGAACATTCCTATGTGGGGAAAGCACCGTTGCCGCATAACAAAAGAAATTGCTATCCACCTTACCCGGATCATTACTTAACAGATCAAATTGTCGCAGAAACTGTCATTCTTTTCTTGCAAATCATATATTGCAGACTAACGAAGAAGCAAAATGAAAACTTTCATGTTCAAAATAGTTGCGTTGAATATGGTTTTAGTAAGGTTGTTTTGAAGTGTTTTCATCTCTGGTGATGTTGCGAGATGTAAACAATGAGGAAACATTGACGATACGTCATGCGAAACAGACTTTGCAATAGTTCAACAAATTAGAAAGTTCTAAATAATAAAAACATCTTTTAAAGGTTTCTTTAAACGAATGTAAACTTTTTTAAATATACGTTTATTTGTACTCTATTTCTAACGAAGAATCTTTCCGCTCTTGTATTGGCCGTCTAAAATTCGTCGAGGAGGTATATTGTGTATTCCTCATGACTTAAGTCAGCGAAAAGTATTAAGGTTAGTTAAAAATGGATAGATAGAGTAGGAAGAAAAAAACAGTCCGAAAATCTATTCTGTCTAAAGGAATGTGCATTCCATACTACTCAGAAATACTTGAATTCAGTCATGTATAGTTGCACCAAGGGGAACCGTAATGGGTACTTTAGTATCAGAACGAATATTAATGCAGATTACCAATTCGGTGTCTTTATATTAATCGACGCTTTGTTTAGTTTAAGATAATTTTTCTCAAGGATTAGCCTGAAAAAAATAACAGTCTGATCGATTGATTGAGCAATTCAGTGAAGACAAGCACATTTATTACATTTTTTACTCAATGGAATCCTGGGAATGAACTGAAAGGACTTTTAACTTTAATTTACGTCAAGAGCCTCGTCTTCCTGCGGTTTCCTTCGCGGTTGAACTGCTATACGTGCTCAACCGATCTAGATGTAAATGACCGTTTCAAATATTGGGAGCTTTGACAGGCAGGATTGACTATAAATCAAATTTGGATGGCTTCGATATCACTCCGCAGAAATATTTCAAGATAAAGTTTGTTTCCCTCCATCAATTCTGAGTAAAACCGCTGGATAACTTGGTTAGGGCATCAAGAAGAATTTAATGAGTCACGCTTCTGTTGGTTTCATTCTAAAGAGTTTCATTGTGTCGTTAAAATAGTACAAAGGAAGTTGTTTTCAATCTTTAGCAATTCTGGATATTGTAATCCTGATAACATATCCTGAGTAGTATGCATGTGAAGAAAGTTTATCACCGGCTTTAACCGGCATCTTTCACTAATACTCTTTTATTCCCTTTCATGTTACTGTGGTATTCCAAAGACTCAACTGACTACGAACTGCACTGACTGTCTTTGTAACTAGTTTACAGGAGAAATATTTTCTACATATTTTATTATCAAAGACGTAGCGTCGCGGGGTAGCATACCGTCATTAAAGTGTATCTATATATCTGGAACAATATTGATTTAAAGTATAAACTCTATGCAAATTGCATCCATTAAGATTCTAAAAAAATTGGCATATAAAAAAATACATGTACCTTTGGTATCAAGCTCTTATCTCTGAGCTGTCCATGATCGTTACGTTTCAGTTCGTAATTAGCCATTTCGGAGTTGTGTTGGGAACTGGCAACACCATATAAAAGGTCATGTTGAGATTGGTCATTTGACCAAGTTTGGTGCTGTAACTGAAATTGAACAGGAATCAAGTTATGACTCTTGAAACATGGTTCCATACAAACGTCTATTGCTGGTTTTCAGTGTCACGCCATTCAAAATAGATCAAAATAAAATCAAAACCGTTCAATAGATAAAGTCCAGAATCTGGGAAATGAATACCCTGGGTACCAGAGGTTTTTTCTCGCGTGCGTCGAGGTGCTTCATCCGCCGCGAGAAAAAACCTCTGGCGCATAGCGCCTTGATTTACTGTGCTGGACCTTGACCTTGTCTCTAATCTGTCAATCAAATCGGCGGTCGCAGGCTCACATTACCTCCAGAACAACAAGCTTGAGTTGTAATAAAAATCATTGCTTAAAGAGCTATCTTGTCACAGTGCAGTTCTCCTTAACTTATGTAGCTTCAGTTTAAGCTGAAATCCATTCTTCCAAATTTGGATTTGTAAATCAAAGGCTACGAGTAGTCCCCCATCAACCTAGTCCCTAGGCGTTCTCGGCTCGGTCAATCCTGGACTCTACCGTGAGCTGTGACGTCACCGAGAGATACACGTCGAGAACTCGCCTGCTCTTTCCGAGACTTCGCGCGGACAACGGGGCAAGAGAGAAGGCCTAGGGACTAGGCTGGTCCCCCATTTTTCCTCAGGGATAGTAGAGCGAGCGAAACGCGAGAGCGCGTGAAAATCGCCCCACGCTGCGCGTCGCCTTTTCTCGCGTGGGGCGATTTTCACGCCTGCTCGCGTTTCGTTCGCTCTACTATCCCTGAGGAAAAGTGGGGGACTACTCGTAGTCTATGTAAATCACTAAGGAGAAATAAACACCCTGCAAAAACTACTACTAACGAGCTGGGCCCAGCGTGACAGAACATTGCAGGAAACTTTCACATTTCAGACAAAAGAGAATCGCTTTTAGGCATTCAGATCCAGGAACGACGAAAGTTTTTTTTAGCCGCAACGAAGTTAACGTTTCAGAAGAAGTTAAAGAAAATGCTCTCGATTCGCATCAGAGGGAAAATCATGCCGACCAGAAATACACCGCAGAAAATCAATATGCGTGTCACGACCTCTCAGTATGAAACAAGCGGCAAAAATAATGCACATTTGCTCAGTTGTAATCTACCCGCTGGAGAAAAAATTCACTGGAACAAGCAGCATTTTGGCACGAGGTATAAGTCGTGTGTTGCCTAACGACCCCCTTTTACATACTGCATATGCGAGGTAGTAACTGGAACAGCAGTGATTTTTCATAGCCGGTCGATCCTTTGAATATAATTACAATGTCTTCTAATAGTCCCACACTTTTTTCCTCCACTGCACACTATCGAATGTTCCAATGACTTCGGCTATAGCCTGGTCTAAATCTTTCGTTCATACTGGCATCTGATGGTTCCAATTCTCTTCCAAAAGGCAAAAACACAACCTATGTGATGTGTGCTTGGATTGTTTCAAACCACCCGCGTCCCGATCACGCGCCTATTGTGATTGTAATCCAATCAGAGAGTTTGAAACATTCGAGATCTTCAAGAAACCTAGTCTGCTACACAGCCGTTTTTAGTGTCGTCACGCAACGCTCCTCCCACTAACGTTAGTTATGTCAACTAGGTTTTTGTCGGTCATACTACTACGTTGTTCGCTTAATCAACGAATAACTGATTGAAGTTCTTCATTCAATGAACTCAAAAAGGCGACAATTTTCATAATACAGTAAAAACGCTTAGGCTACAAGGTAACCTCATCATGAATCAAGGCACCTGAAAAAGATTTCAGACCTTTGGGGCAGAAGGGGGAAGAGGAATTTGTAACATTGTACAAACCCTCACAGGAATGGAGCGGATAATCCTAATCCGCTGCTGTATGTCATTGCAGGCGGGTAAGCAGCTTCCAACATGTGGTAGATATAGAACAAGAGACACAATAATAGATTGGAATAGACATACATACACATTGACCAGGGAGGTTTATGACGGTTTGGTAATTCACTTGAAGAATGGTTTTGAATAGTCAAGGCTTTCTTCTGTAGATACTTTTGTCATTGAAATCACGTCTTTTTGTCCTCTTTCAGCACCCATGGGGGTTCTTAACTGTTCCACATGTGCAGCACAAACTGAAGCAGCGTGTACCGCGCTTCAGACGACAAGAGAATGTTTCATGGACCAATTGTGTCTTACATTGGAAACTTTTACAACAACAAATCAAACCAGTTTCATCAAAGATTGTTTTCCGTCTATGACTTGTTCTGTTCCTTCCGTACTTTGTGATATGTTAAACCAAACTTCCAACGGAACAATTCTCTCCTGTAATCCAGAGTGTTGTAACACCAGTTTGTGCAATGCTGGAGTCTCACCAGTGATCCCAACCTCTGGAGCCCCATCAACTGCTGGTAAGCCGGTTAACGATTCTTATTTCAAAATCAGCAACTCGAATTTTTACCGCAAAAGTCCGAGTTGTGTGCATTTCAAAATATGCAACTCGAATTTTTACCGCAAAAGTCCGAGTTGTGTGCATTTCAAAACTTGCAACTCGAATTTTTACCGCAAAAGTCCGAGTTGTGTGCATTTCAAAACTTGCAACTCGAATTTTTACCTCAAAAATCCAAGTTGTTTGCATTTCAAATTTGCAACTCGAATTTTTACCGCAAAAGTCCGAGTTGTGTGCATTTCAAAACTTGCAACTCGAATTTTTACCTCAAAAATCCAAGTTGTTTGCATTTCAAAATTTGCAACTCGAATTTTTACCGCAAAAGTCCGAGTTGTGTGCATTTCAAAACTTGCAACTCGAATTTTTACCTCAAAAATCCAAGTTGTTTGCATTTCAAAATTTGCAACTCGAATTTTTACCGCAAAAGTCCGAGTTGTGTGCATTTCAAAACTTGCAACTCAAATTTTTACCGCAAAAGTCCGAGTTGTGTGCATTTCAAAACTTGCAACTCGAATTTTTACCGCAAAAGTCCGAGTTGTGTGCATTTCAAAATTTGCAACTCGAATTTTTACCGCAAAAATCCGAGTTGTATGCGCTTCAAAATTTGCAACTCGAATTTGTCCGGCAAAAATTCGAGTTGTATGCGCTTCAAAATTTGCAACGCGAATTTTTACAGCAAAAATCCGAGTTGTACGCGCTTCAAAATATGCAACTCGAATTTTTACCGCAAAAATCCGAGTTGTATGCGCTTCAAAATTTGCAACTCGAATTTTTCCGGCAAAAAGTCTAGTTGTGTGCGTTTCAAAATGTGCAACTGACTCTAATTCTTACCGCAAAAATCCAAGTGAGAGTTATTGTAGAAAGAAAAGCGTGGATTTTCGCAGCAAAATTTGAAGGTCTGTTAATTTCAAATTTGCAACTCAGATTTTCACTGCAAAGGCTCAACGCAGGTGTAATTTCAAAATTTACAACTTAGACTTTTACGTGTAGACACTTGGTTTAATACTTTCGGAACGGTCAGGCTATCCTCTTCAGCTGGAGGGGTAAGCTATTTCATTACGCTTTATTATTAAGAGAGGATCTCTTGGCTTTATTTGAGAGTTTTGCCTATAATAATGCGTATTGCAGTACATGTGATAGTCAAGACGAATTAGTAATTACCTGATTTAATTTCTATATTTTGCTTTGAAAGAGCTAATGAATCATGACATTTTTCAGTTGTGTCACCTAACCTGCTATTGATCCTTCTTCTGCTAATAGACTTTGTATCTTTATCTGGAAGTGTCTTTCAGAGCTCAAAAGCGCCTAGACAGGATCATGGCCAATCTTGTATCTTTACTCTAGCATTAATCTGATTTTGTTTTTCAGCCGGTTTGCCCCTTCCCCTCTTGCCCGGAACTGTCGAAATAAGATGTTGTTATCAAAACTATATTTTGCTTCAAGAGATGAGCTCAGTATTATTCGTGATGATATGATGATGACCATTATTTTTTTATTATTAATGTATTCTTCTTATTCTTCTTATTTTTATCTTTTAATATCATTTTCTTATTATTTACGAGCCACGTTTCATATCAGTGACTTGAGTTTCTTGTCAAGTATCTGCTGCATTAGTCTGTGTGCAAGCTCGCATTTTCTCAGCTTTTGTAAAATGACTTTATAAGAAGCAAGGACTTTGAAGAAGTCAATAATGCCAAAAATACTGTCACGATCACAATAACGATGAAGACGGTTATATTATTATTATTATTATGAAACTTGTCATTAGTGATACAAGTTAAATTTACCTGGCCTTGATATAGCTTTATCTTGAAAGGTGAAGAACTCCTCAAACACTACTTCTATTTACTCTTCAGTTATTCAGTTATTCCTAGCGTTTGCTCATGGGATTTATTTCAGGTAAACATATGCAAAACTCCGCCATAAATTACACCAGTGACAGTTGTTACTGAGTACATACAAAGTGATCTTTCAGTAATATCAAACTCTACGATATGATTTTCTCCTCTTTTTAATTAGTATGCATCATATAAGGCGGAGGCTTAACAGCATAAGCTTTTTTAGAAGGAAACATAAAAGCTCCGCAAGAGAAGTTTTTACAGTCATATCGGAAAGTCACCCGCATTAGCCTACATTTACACGCGCGGGAGTAGCCTTGGGTATCGCGCATTGAATGTTTACGAGCTCTGATTTAAGCCATAATTAATGGCACGGTTCTTTAAAACTGCTTTAATTTGTAATCTAAGCATTCTCTAGATATTACAACACAGTCACAGTAAAATTATGTTTGCCACAAATTTTCCGTATGGTAACAGGACTAAAACAAAGAACGTTCGCAGTAATTTGTTCCTTCTATCATTATAGTTAGAGTGAGTTAACAGGGTCTGCGAACTGCATTGGTTACCGGCTGACGCATCAAAGGCTTAGAAATGATCATCACCTTGTTGGCAGGTGAGGGTAAATAGCTCCTATCAAGCTAATGATGCTTTTATGATGAGTGTACGATGCTTTTTGTGGGTCTTTTAGTTTCCATCTAATCTTTGCGTTTCGATTCATATATTTTGGTACTTAAACCATTTTTTCCTGTCGGTAGAGATACTATGATAAATTAAAACAATACGGCTTTGCAATGGGTTGTATTGATGGGTAGGAACCTCATAGATTCAGTACACTCATGATAATAATGCACGGACATTGCTCAGTTTACTTCGTTGATTTCGACAGAAGTTAATAATGTTACATTGCGTGCCATTTGTCCGGTCTGCTCACATACACTATTGCAACAAATTTCCTTAATTTATGCCCGCAACCCATAATTCTTTGGATAAATCTTTCCATTCCTCTCCTCGTGTGAATTTAAATCTAGACTGACCAAATGTACTTTACGTGTGAGTTTCTTGTGTCTCACGGTATACAGCAATGCCACCATTTTGACTGCCTTCTGTGACTTCTAGAAGCCCAGTCTCGAATAAATGCTGCACTTGAATAAGCGCCAAATGTACAAATGTTATTTTTAGTTTTAATAAACACTTAATGACTGGTCTCGAGGGAAACAGGTAATTTTGTTTCCCAAGAATCTCAATGTTTCCCGAGGCGAACTGTGCACTGTTACCCTCTGACGTCATAGACTTTTGCAATGTTCCCCGCTTAGAGCTTTTGGCGGGAAATAGTTTCATTGTTAGATGTCATGTGACCTCGAAGTAACCAATGAGAGCGCGCGCTGTTGGGAAAAAATTTCCAGCTATATAACAACAGTATTGGTTAGAGCGGTTTGCAGTTTATTAAATTTTGGCGGGAAATAGTTTCATTGTTAGATGTCATGTGACCTCGAAGTAACCAATGAGAGCGCGCGCTGTTGGGAAAAAATTTCCAGCTATATAACAACAGTATTGGTTAGAGCGGTTTGCAGTTTATTAACCTTTACTCATTTTGATCACCTTGTTTTACAGAAGTTCTACAAAGTTCCACCCTACAGCAAGGAAATCCCATATGCACGTGTCAACCACAACAAGTTTATGGTCACAGACTCTGTAGTCTACATTGGCACATCTAACTGGTCAGCGGATTACTTTACGGGCACAGCTGGTATTGGTTATGTCATCAACGAAACCGAGACTGGAAATACTGTACGAGCGCAGTTACAAGCAGTGTTTGAGAGAAACTGGGACTCGAATTTTACTATATCAGTGAACTGTAACCAGTGAGACCATATACATTACAATGGCGATAACCAGTACGCTCTTGTGATAACTGAAGGGCTTCGCATTTTGCTACTTCGCATGCGTTATGCCCCTCTCAAGAACGTCATAGATCTTTGGATTTCTAAAGGATTTTCCGTGTTCTAACAGAAAAGTAGTTTTGTATGGCTTACGACGATGTGGGGAAAATAGTCCTTATTGAATTTAAAATAATTACCAATCACCAATTAGTTTTCACGGATAAGTAAGTTTTTTTCAGACTTTCATAGTCAGGAAAAAGGGTATGAAATTAGGGTCATGCAGGATAACTTATATTCTCACATTTTACTAAGGACTAGGCCAAACGTCGAACTCTGTTACATAAGACGAACCAATCTCTAATTTGGTCTACCTAAATTAGGTTAAGATCGTCTGTTGGGTCGGACGTCGAACTTGAGGCGCGTCGAACCAATCAACTCAACCAGATCAGTGATAAATTTTCTTCCGAACGAGGCTAAAAATGCATTATCATATAAGTTTGGAGTTTATTAGTTGAGTTCGTCGCATGTGAAGGTCGATGTTTGTCTCGGAGACGATCATCAGACGTTCTATCCGTCTGCTCAAACGGATAGAACGTTTTGGATGATCCAAACTCATTCAGACGAACGTAAATGAGCTAGACGTCGATATTTTTATGAACTTAACTCACCAAGTTTGGTTCGCCTTCTTTTTTCTCTAAAACAATGGACTGTTATATTTTACAAACCGTAATGTTGCTTTTCAGATAAGTCACAGGAGTCATTGGTGGACCGAGTCTTGAATGACATTCGAAAGGGCGGAAACTTTTTGGCGCTCATATAGCAAGCTGGGTGCTATAGAGCATCACCGCGTTGTTTTCAGCTCAGCCGGTCAAAGTAGGCGTAGTAGGGCACGATTACGTCATGGTATGGTGTTTATGTCGATATGAAAACATCATGGCAAGCAGCGCTAAAAAAATCACTTATTTGTAAATAAAATCTGAGGTATTACTAGCTTGTTGTCTTTATTAGGACTAATTCAAGGTAAGTGATTAACGTGCTTCAGTCAATAAGCCGGAAAAGGCGACAAAGACGATATTACATGGCCGCACGGGGATACGAGTTTTATCTTCTCGAGCTGAAAGTATCTCTCACGAGTGAGCGAAGCTCACTCGTGAGAGATACTTTCAGCACGAGAAGATAAAATTCGTATCCCCAGTCGGCGGTGTAATGTTCTGTTTATTTCATAGATACTGATGAAATTCCT